TTAGGATTGAAACGATCAAATTTTCATAGGGGTCATGTGCGAATGAATAGCTTCTTTTGATGGGGTAGTGCACGGGCTTGGCCACACAATCATTTTTGTCTACACCCCTGCGCTATTTTTTCCCACAAGAGGTGCGCGAGGTCCCTCATCAGTGCATACAGGCAATGGTTATGAGCACCTCAAATTGGATATTTGACTATACCTCTGTACAAGGAGCTCATGGTGAGTCATTTGACGGAGCAATCAGACTCTGCAACACCGTCACCGCAGCATCTTCTGCCTTGACAGTATCCTGAAACCCTGCTAGCAGTTTCTCCACCACCTTGTGTACCGCAAAGTCCCACGGCCCATCTCCCGCACCGGCCACTCTCATGAGCGCTTCAAACTGGACTGCTGGGATTTTCCCGCGTTCACAGAGTTGATGGCAACTCATTTCATGGAGCTTCCGGGCGAATTTAAGACCAGCACCACCATAGGGCCTCAACGCAACCACTGCCTCACTCTCTGCCTCACTCTCTCCGCACAGTTGCTCGTGTCTGCACAATGCATCCTCCTCAGATCCCTCAATCCCACGAAAGTCCTTCAACCGCTTCTCAAACTCCTCCTGGGTCTCGCCCATCAGCGCGTCCACTCGCCACGCCCCGCGCTCGAGCTCTGCGTCGCCTTTTAGTTGCTTCAGGTTGCAAGCCGCCACCGCAGCACGATTCTGCATCCTTGCCGCCATGACTTCCGCTGTGCACTCATCCGTTCTCCTCTCTTGCACCAATATGCGACCGTTCATCAGGTCCCCCTTCATCTCGGCCACCTCCTTCTCAGAGGGCGCTTCAGAGCTGCGCAGCAGTTCCAACAAGCTGCGCTTGCCGAGCTTGAACATCCCGCCACGTTTTGCCATGATGTTCCGGACCGCCTCCAAAGTATTGCTCACCATCCCCAGGGTCGCATCCATCGATTTCAGCCGCAGCAAGAGTGTGAAAATCTTTTTCGTACCAGAACATCGCTTCTTCTGCAGGTTGACCGATTTGGGGAAGTGAGATATCAGCTGGTCCGCCAGGTGGGCAGTAGCTGGGGTGTTCCATGCCAAATCGCCTTGTGCTTCGACCTCAAGTAGATGGTGGCACGCTGCACGGACCCAGTGCAGCTCTCGGTTGCGCAGCCTGGCTGAAGCTAGCCCGGCATCTCTCCTCATGACCTTCGAATTGTCCCGCAGCGGCTTGGTGAGCGGGTCCGCGAGGTACTTGCGCAGCAGACGCACCACAAGTCGCTGCGTGTTCTGTACCACCCACCTCGAGTCCCATCCAGAATACGGGAACACTTGCGCCATGCGAATCGCTATCCACAACTCCTCAAGTGGTGGCACCTCCAGCTTTGTCTTGTGCATCACCAGTTGCCATAGGGTGGTTGCTGGCAAGCTGCCTGAGGCCATTGTGGTGAGCAGCAGCCCCCAAAGTCCGCGCTGCATGCGACACGTGGTGTTGTCATAGGCGTCCTTCCCTGGTACTCCCGCCATTCCTGAGGCAACGCCCTCCATAATCTCCAGGATGGTGTGAACCAGGAAGAATGTCAGGTCTGTTGACGAGGAGGCAATGTTCAGGGTGCGGCTCGCAACGGCATCCACAAATGTCGCGCGCAGCTGTATGCGGTACATCTGCACCCATTTCTCATTTGCCTCGTCCGGCCACAGGAGTGCGCTCGGGTTCTTGAGATCCACAAACTTGGCGAGCATTGGCAGCGGGAGGGCGGAGCTGTGAGGCGCAGCAAGGCTCTGCGGGATGGCAAGGCCTTGATGGCTCTGGCTGCTCAGCGGGTGCCCCGTGGCAGACCGGGTCTGCTCATACAGCAGCGAGAGGGTGCACTCATCGAGCTGTGGGCAGGAGGTGTGCAACTGGGCAAGGCGCGGGTGCCCTGTCGCCGCCACCCGGGCCTGCTCTTTGAAGCGGCTGGTGGCCACTAGTTCCAGGTTCAGGTGGAGCTGTGCGCTGCTCACCTCCACCATGAGCCATTCTTCCACCTCCTCAAAGAAGCTCAACTTCTCCGATAGCGACATCTGTTGCACAGCCGCAGTGCGCCCGCTGATGTTTTGCTTCCGGATTAGGCGTTTCAGATCAGTGTCTTTACTGCTTGAGCCGCGCTGGCTCACCATTCCTGCAAGTGCCGCTATGATCTCCTTCACCTTGCGCTGCACTGCACGCAGCTCACCGGTCAGCGCTGCCATACCCCGCCTCTGCATCTCAGAGTGTGCCGCTGGTGCTTCCCCCCTGTATTTCAGCTCCGCGGTCTCCCGCATCTGCTTGCGCATCTCCCCTTTCCTTGCCTCAATCTTTTCCGCCAATCCACGCTGCAGCCGGCCCACTAACTCTTGCAGCTCCCCGGGGGGCAGTGCCACCGAGATTTGCGTCAATACGTCTACAATGTCCTCCTTGGCCGAGCTCAGCGCCTCTAATTCCATCCCCTGCAGCCTTTCGAGGAACTCCTCCAAAGGTAGCATGCTGCCACAGAAGCACACCTGCCGGTTAGCAAGCGGCACCACTGTTGGCCATGGCAGGCCCCGCATCCCGCCAGAGGCAATAAATGCCATCAGACGCTGTGGAGAGAATAGCTCTGTGACGTCTGTACAGAATTTGGGGACCTCCTCTAGGAATCCTGGCCAACGCACTCCACGGTAGAATACCAGCCGCCCAGAGGGCAGCTGCACTAGCACGATCGCATTTGGGCCGGCCAGCACGGTTCCAGCACGGTTCGCCGTGCTGACGTATGCCTCCACAGCGCTCTGGCTTCCTTCATCCCACGCAGCAGGGGGGCCTACCAATACGAAGACTCCATTGGCGGCCACAGTGCAAGTCCTGGCCACCAGCTGTTTCCAGGTGGAGGAAAGCTTTACCCACAGCAGAGCGGCTAACTCTAGGTACGCATGGTATTCCGGCAAGGTGAAGTTCACGTTCGATGCCTCTCCGCATGCGAGTGAGACGTCTCCAGTGCACGGGCCAAACAGCACGGGGAGCCTTGCAAAGTCCGATGGTTCGGCGTCTTCCTCCTCTAACTTCCCAAATGCCAGGCCCTGCCCGAAGCGAACGTGCAGGAAAGCCGAGACGGCGGTGGTCATATTCAACTTGATTGCCCAACTGTCTACCCGCAGCCCAACTTCGGTTGCCACCATGACGGGATGCTTGTCGGCGCACATCAGAGGGCATCCGGAGTGAATGCACTCCTCCGACCTTGTTGCGCTGTCCCCTCGCTCTTCCAGCGGCTCAGAGGAAGCATCCCCGAGAATGGGTGGCGCAAGAACTAGGGCCGCCTGCCGGTGCGCCAGACACTCAAAAAACTCCGTCGCCGCCGCTCGCATCGCCGCTTGAGTGCCGTCAGACAGGTCCCCGGTGTCCACGTTCTCCACGTTGGACGGACGAGCAAGGGGATAGGCGAGGAGGGTGCCGTCTCCCTGGAGATGGAGGGTGACAAGGGCGCCAAGGGTGGCCTCCCCCACGTCCAGCTTTGCGAGTGGGCAGGGCACCAGGTAGATGGTGCGCGCCTTGTGGTTGACAAGGAGCACCGAGGGCAGCTGCATCTCGAAAGAGTGTAGAGGCTTTCGTTCATAGCCCGTCACCGCCAGCACGTAAACGGACGACTCACACGAAAGCGCCCTAATAGGCTTGGAACACTTAACGTGATGCAACAAACTCCGAACATCACCCGAGTGCTTGACGAGGGCCCCTTGCGGAAAGATTTCTTGGTTGCGGTATGTGGCAGGGTCTTCCACCGTCAAGTATTGACCGCCCTCCGCTTTCGCTCTCCCGCCATGGACAGGATATACAACTAAGTCAAAATATGAGCCGCCTTGCATATTGGTAGTGGCAAAGCAACTGATGCGACCGTCCTCATAAGGCAGCCTCACCACCTGTCCGGGGCAGAGCACCTCGACCTCATACTCAGCGATCTCGCCGAGAACGTCTTGGAAATGGTCGAGCCGCTCTGCGAGGGCCTCCTGTGCACTGTCCAAATCAACGGAAGAGAGGAAATCGGCGGGATCCAGTCCGCTCACATCCACCTCGATCACCTCACTGCCGTCCCACTTGAGGATCAACTCTGCGGATGCGCGATGGGCAGTCCCCGGCTGCTGGGTCCTAAGGTAGCACCTCACCGCTTCGATACCACGGAGGCATGGATGAAAGTGAAAGGTCACACCTCGAAGTAGAGTTCGAGCCCTATCTGTGCAAAGACGCATGAGGCCCGCGAGCATCCCATCCCCTTGTACGAAGTCAGAAGCAGGCGATATCAGCTTCTCGGGAATACATAACAAGTCTGCCACCTACCTGTACTCGAAATATGTCTGGAAAAATCTTGCAGATGATCAGCTCGAGCGGCGGCGTCCGTCATGAGGCCGACTGCTGGTGTATGCACACGTCGTGATGGGGTGTGGGGGCTTGGCGGGGCGGGGTCTGAAGTCCAGAAGAGTGCTCCCCAGGTAGCAGGAGAGGTGACGCGCAAGTACCAAGTAGCTAGATGACCAGCGTGGAAAAAATCAAAGACGGAATATACAAACGAATGTATTCATCTCTGTGGATATTTTAAACAACCTTTTTGGCAGAATGTTTGGGAACTCCGAGGATAAAAATGTTTCACGTGCAGATGCACGAAAGTTCGTTATCTGCTAATGTTCTACCACGTCCACCGCACGTGTCGAAAACTGCGAGCAGCGTTCATGAATTATACCTAATCGGCCTGCTCCTCGATCCGAAAATCCCCTACAGTAGGCAAGTGTCACGAGTATGACAAAACTCTATTGGCATGGCACTCTGGACTCTCCAAGAACTCGATCGAGTCTCATGATCCAGCGGCCAAGCATCCAGTGTCATATGATCTAGCGGTCACGATCGTGTAAGATGATGATGTCATTGATCTCCCGACCTCTTCTCAGCTATTTCTGAGTTTTGTCATACCTATCAAAACAAAAGCCTGAGAACGTGAATTTTATTGATTCCAATATTTTACTTATCACGGTGCATTCAGCCCACGTAGTATTAAGTATAGTTGGTAGTACGCGACAGCTTGTTCAACGTCAAGACGTGGGTTCGATTCCCGCCGTGGGCTACGCTACTTTTATGCGTCGCAGAATGTACATTTGTTTGAAGGCGCGTGTCACAGCCGGACAGATAAATTTTGTGCGTTTGCATGACGTGTGACACATCGTCTCGGCGTGTTCTACCTACAGATTGGAAATTTTAATGAAACGGGATGGCGAGGCGATGGCGTGTGACACATCGCATCGTCTCGGCGTGTTCTACCTACAGATTGGAAATTGTAATGAAAGGATAGCGAGGTGATGACATGTGACACTGTCGAATCTGAGGTCATAAATTAGTGCCTGCACTCATTTGGTGATCAACTGCTTCGATGGTCTTCGATGGTCTAGTGGTCACATTGCATGACGCTAGCTTTTAGCTTAGCGACCTGGGTTCAAATCCCGGTCGCGATGATCGCGATGACCGATGACATCAATGATCGATCGATGAATGTCGAATCGATCGAGTCGATGCGATGCGATGCGATTGGGGTGGGGGGCCACTTCCCCCAACCCCCCTAACCCCCTTGAAGGGGCGTCGATCCGTCCAGTGTGACTTACTTACCAACTTACATTTCGTTACCGTAATGAAACCCGTCTACAATATGAGAAGTGTTATGAAAGTGGTCATAATGCATGACGCTAGCTTGAGCGACCTGGGTTCATATCCCGGTCGCGATGATCGCGATGATCGATGACATCGATGATCGATCGATGAATGTCGAATCGATCGATTCGATCGATCGAGTCGATGCGATGCGATGCGATT